AGTCGGCCCGGGACCTGACGCAGTTGGGGGCGGCCGCGGCGAGCTGGGAAGCTGTTCCCGGGGGCGGAGGAGAGGACGAGGGAGGACGGAGGACATCTTGGAACGATCGGTGCAGCCGGTCCCGGGTCCAGACCCGGTGCCGCTGGTGTGTAAGCTTGGGCGTGGCCCTGCCCTCGGCGCGGCTCGGTTTCCTCCACTGGTCCCCGCGGGGTTGGGCCCGCCCCTGTCCGCATTCCTCCGGCGCGGGAGCGGGTCTGGGTGGATGGCCGCGGCCGGGGAAGGCTTCGCGGAGAAGCTGGAATCCGGGCGGGAACGTGTTCTTCCTGTGCAAGGAGTGGGATTGGGTGGTGAAGGGAAGGAGGGCATTCCGGACCTGGGCATCCCAGTGAGCAGAAGCTTCCAGAAATGACATGCTGGGTGGTGCTGGGGAGCAGGGAGGAGGCAGGCCTGCCTTGTGCAGAGGACTTGTGGTTGAGACGAGGCAGGGGCAGGGTGCAGGTGGGAGAGGTGCTCAGAGACAAGTCAGCACCCGGCCAGCTGCTGGGGGACTTGAGGGCCTCCGCCCGGACCTACCTGCCTTTCAGGTGGTCGGGTGCAGGAAGGGGCGGGCTTACTGCTGAAGATAAATGGATTGCACTCCAAAGGCTGACCAGCCAACCCGAGGGACTCCGGGGCCTGCTGGGAGGCTCCTGGGCCCTGGCTTTCTGCATGGAGGAGAGGGGGGGTGTGGACTTTTTTGGGTCCAGATCTGGGCCTCTCTGGCTGGAGAAGCTGGTGTGGTTGCTCCCTAGTGGCCTGCATTCAGTCCCAGCTTTTTACACTTAGACGGGTGTTTCATGGCAGGAAGAATTGTAAACCAGGAGTTCCCCACCGGGAGCTGACGGGCCCCAGTGTCCCTGCACAGGTGACATGGTCTGATTTTGCCAGTCCTCGCAGGTGGGCTGAGTCAATCTTACTTGATGATGAAACTAGTAAATGGCAGTGTGAAATCGAGTCCCACCCAGAGGAGGAACTTAAATGTGTGGAATTTAGAGACTGAGCATGCTACGTGCTGATCTGTTTCCGAAAATGCTGCCTTAGTCAGAGTGTAATTTGCAGGAAAGGGAAGTTTAGTTTAAAACCAGATCTTCAGGGTCTGAAGCATACTGAAGAAGGAAAAGAGAATTCTGAATCAATTGGAGCTGTTCAGCAAACCTCTTGGCAAGTTTGAATAATTATTTTTTCTTCAAATCTCTTCGTTTAGTGTTAATTTAGCATCTATGGACACATTTCCAAATTAGACCTTTTATCCCTCAAGTGACATGTGATAATGATATAGGTGGTGGAGAAATAGATGGTCATTATATACTTAATTTTCTTAGAATGCTAGGGAAGTAAATCTTGTATTATCTTATGTGGAAGAGGAAACACCAGTGTTATTTTCTTTTATACGTTGCACAGTCAGTGCCCCGTATGTTTTATCAAGGACCACAAACTTGAAGATCTCAAGCCAGGAACCTAAGTGGAATTGAGTGTGGGCTTATCCCAGAGAGGAACTGAGTGTGGGGCAATAGGGTTATGAAAGAACTAAGCAGAGTCCTTAGACTGCAGGGGCACAGAGAGTGCTGGTGTGAGCCTTTCTTGGTGCGGTGAGTCTTGCCAGGGCCCTCTGAGTGGCTCCCTCAGTGTAGGCCCACCCAGGAAGCTGGGTGTGGACCAGGCATGTGCTCATGCCCTGGCTTTTCCACGGGGCTCTTTCTCGTGACTTTCCTCATGTGCTGCCTGCTGAGCTCTATACGTGCTGTGCTTTTATTTTATTTCTTTCCATATTTCATTGCCAAGGTCAGGTAGAGGATAAAAATCAAGTGCTACCAGCCAGACCCCAAGTGACAGATGCCTGTTTTGGCCATTGTCCTCAGGTGGCCCTGACGATGTGGTAGGACTGATGTGCTCATTCTCGGTGCATAGCAGTGGGCTTGACTGGGAGGCAAGCCCTGCCTTGTGGTCCAGATCTGCTTAAGGGTGCCTGATGGATCATTCTAGGTGGGGTTCGCTAAGCAAGAGCTGTCTCTGGTAGCTTGTGGGCTGCAGCACCCAAAGGTATTCTCATTCTGTTCCCATTCCCAGTGCCCCCCCTTTTGTGAAGTTACTTTATAAAGTGAACTGGGAGCCCCTGCTCTGGGTAAACCTGAAAAGGCGTGCTCCTTGACTGTGGTCCATACCTCTACATAGGTCCACCTGAAAAGATGACGATAGATGGGAATGAAAAAGCTAGTGTTGGTGTGTTTTCACCTTTTTTTCAACTTTCTTGAGGTGTAATTGAAGCACACTAACTGCACATGTTTTAAAGTATACAAATTGCTGGATGGATATATACCTTTGGAACCATCACCACACTCAAGGTAAAAATGTTCCCATCATCTCCAGAAGGGAAACTAGTGTTTCTGTGGTGACTGCTTCTGGCAGCTGAGTGACCTCAGACAAGCTAGTCCCCAGGCCCCCATGGTCTGGGCGTCCACGTTTGTAAAAAGTGCAAGTAAGAGTAGAATGCCTTCCCAGATTTGAAATTCTCATAGCTTGTGAACCCTAATGTGTAGTTGAACTATCTTCTGAAGGATTTAGACCAGTGATTTTTTTAAGGGTTAGAGGTGTGTATGTGTGTGCATGCACATGTGTGTGTTTGCACATGTGTGTGTCTGCAGAGGTCACAATTCAGAAGATATTTAATATGTTGTTTTCATGGTACAAATAATCTATACGAATAAAAGGGTAATATGCTAATTAGACTGGATAGACCAGATGTCCTTCCAGACATCCTTCTGGACAAAGCCATAGTGGTGGGGGGCTGAGGCAGAGGCAGTTAGGGGCGATCAGGCAGGCAGGGGAAAGCAGTTAGGGGCGATCAGGCAGGCAGGTGAGCGGTTAGGAGCCAGCGGTCCGGATTGTGAGAGGATGCAGGCCGGGCTGAGGGACCCCCCCCCTTTGTATGAATTTCATGCACCGGGCCTCTAGTAGAAAATAAAACCTTACAGTCTCTGGGGGGATTTAGAAGATAGTGTGAGAAGCTATGTAATGGACTTGGGTTAAAATGGTAAAAAAAATACTCAGGGAGGAGGGGTACCCTTATACATATTTTGCTTTTAAAGATCTTAGCCTCAAACTAAAAGTTCTGTGCTTAGATCAAGTTTTCCTCTGGAAGTTTTTAAAATTTTTATTTATGTATTATATACTTTCATTGATTTCAGAGAGGAAAGGAGCGGGAGAGAGAAACATCAATGATGAAGGAGAATCATTGCTCGGCTGCCTCCTGCCTGTCCCCTGCTGGGGATCAAGCCCACAACCCAGGCATGTGTCCTTGACCGGAATCGAACCCAGGACCCTTCAGTCCGCAGGCCGACGCTCTTTCCACTGAGCAAAACCAGATAGGGCCCTCTGAAGTTTTAGATCATTTTCTCTTGAAAATGATCAGAGTGGTATTGAAAGGAATTGATGTTAAGGTAATGCAGGAAATTATGGAAATATTGGGCTGGTGACCGATTTGTGTCCATAGTCAGAAGAAGCTCGAGTCCCTTTCCAGCTGTACCAAAGCAAGTAAGAACTAGGAGGCATAGCAGGTGAATGGCATCTTATGTAGAAATGGAGGGCAGATTCTAGAGCAGCTGTCGCCAGCCGGTGGTCCGTGAGGTCTGAAAGGTTGGCGACTGCTGTTCTAAAGGACAGTGATACCTGTACAGATTTAGTGACATTTCTTGAACCCTTTCTTCCAAGCAGTCAGGTGCGCATCACCTGTGTTGGTCTTTATTATTCTTACCTGTGGGCTCTCAGTGGGAATCTGAAACACAGATGGGTTGGATGCAGCCAGCAAAGAGAATCTATTTTTGGGGCATTCGTTATAACTTAATCTTGATGTTGATATTGCCTAAAAATGTAAATAAAAAACAACAAATAAATGTGAAGATGCTTATTAAGGTTCTAGCCCCGCCTTTCTTAAAGGAAGAAGAAAAGCAAAGCATCACAGTGTCCTCTCCTCACCAGAGGCTGACACTCCCCCCTCCCCCCAGTCTGCCATGGGCCCAGCATGTGGGGCACACACAGGTGCATGTCCCTGCAGTGGGGAAGGGCAGACTTACATGGACAGTGGTGAGCCCAAGGGGAACCTGTCAGTGGAGGCTCCCCTAGACTGTGAGCTTGGGAGATCTCTCCCCACCATACCCCAGGGCCTGGCACCCAGTGAGTGTTAAATCCCTTTTAAAAATTTTAACTCATACTTTAAAAAATTAGACTTACAGAGGATGGTGTAGAGATTACCCAAATCTATTATGAAGGAATCCAATCTTCATGTAGCTAATATGCTAAATTTTTCTACAACTAAAGAAAAGAAAACCACTTACATGGTTGTGGTCAGTCTCCAGCTGCTGTCTAGAGACTTGTTCTTAACTGAGCTTCCATCTGTCTTTCAGGGTAAAGGCAGCAGTAATGCTGACGCTGGCGAGCAAACTGAAGCGGGATGATGGTCTCAAAGGGTCCCGGACGTCAGCCACAGCCTCTGACTCCACTCGGAGGGTGTCTGTGAGAGACAGACTGCTCGTTAAAGGTGATGACATCCATGTGAGCTCTTTATATCCCACAACAATGTGAAGGATGGCTGGGGGCTCTGTTGGGGTGTGAAACAGCCTGTTTGAAAATATGTTAAAGTGTAACCCCTTATTACTTATAGCCTGTGCGCTGTGGGAGTGCTGCTGGTGAGGAAGTGTATTAGAAACTGGTGTGTCTTACGTACTTGGAGTATTCTCTGTGGGGCTGCCAGGGTGCTGGTGGGAGGAGTAAAGTCCTGAGAGTCAGCAGGTCCACCACTCTGGTCTTGGCTGTCATTGTAGACTCCTGGGAGAGGGGTCTTTGTTTCTTCTGGACTCCTCAGCACCAAGGGAGGGAGTGGTATTGGGTAATCTCTTAGGATCCTTCTCCATTTAGTCAAGTCAAAGCCTGAGGAGAGCCTGTGCAAACAGTTCCCCTTGCAGAATTAACAGCACATTGTCCCAGAGCTGTGGCTCACATGCGTTTGTGCACCGCTTCTGCATCACTCATTGCACAGACTTACAGCTCTCAGGTGCTTAGGCAGTTTCCTAGGGTCAAGGACTACAGAGTGGAGGGAGAAACAGTCCCTGCTTGAAAGAGCTTATGACATGTGTTTTCATTTCTTAAGTGTGAGGAGCTAGGAAGCACTGGTTTGTGAGTAGTTTGTTAGAACTGCCTGTGTTCCTATTCTTTTAGGCAGACACCGTGGGGGTGACTGGTATTTGATATCCTGACACTGAGTGTGGCAGGGGAGCCATGCGTGTGCACGCGCTGTGTACACACGTGCTGTGTTGGGCCTTCTCAGAAACGAAGCAGTGCTCAGCTTGGGAAGGAACGGGAACAGGAAGGCCTCAGGTTCAGGGGCGCATGCTTCCTTGTTCTGCTGCCCCCTAATGTTGACTCAGCTCTGGCTTATGCCTCCTGGTAGAGTAAGAATCATTTTATACGTTTTAGCATTGCCTGTTCTGTCGGGGAGAGCGCTGGACTGCAGTGGGTTTTCTAAGCAGCTTTATCCTGTGGGGTTGTGGCAGCACCTCACTTGGGTGGGCCCTTTAGGACCTGAGTCTCTTTTCCGGGTGCTAGCCCAAGGGTTCCATCTATAGAGGAGCAGGAGCCGGGCAGCACCTGGAAAAGGGTTTGATGTGTGTTGTGGTCCTTGGAGTGGAGGGTGGGCACAACAGAGTGGCCCTCTGTTGGGCACTTTCTAGTGCAAATCTAGTTTGACCTTTGCTAATCCTTGCTGGGTGGTGGTTCATTTTGAAGCTGGACTCAGGAGGTTGAGAAACTTGCTAGGGCAGCTTTAGTGCAGGAGGACAGCTGGACCCACCTATTGGGGCAGGGCAGGCTCTTGGGCAGGCCTAGTAAGCAGGAACGAAGGAGCAGGACAGAAGTACAAATGCAGAGAAGAGAGGCTCCCACACACATCCGGCCCTGACATAGCTGGGTAGCCCGCTGGGGCTCGCCATGCTGGACTTCGCCCCTACTCCAAGGGCAGGAGGTGTCTTCCAGGACCTGCGAGGTCTAGTTCTGAAGGACAACAGAAGGCTGGAGTCAGTTCTCCTTGGATACACCAGAACCTGTCTCAGAGCAGCTAGCACCTGGGAAAGAAACTCAGGTCCTAAAGGGCCCAGCCAAGTGAGGTGCTGCCGCCACGCCCACCCTCTACCATACTGACACCTTCACCACACCAGCTCGTCATTTGAACCCCCAGGATGGTTCTCAAGGATGTCCTCCAGGCCAGAAATGGGGAGTGTAGAACAATCCAGTGGTCTGGGCTAGGATCGAGGGCCACTGCCTGCTCTGAACCCTGTGAGCTGGGGACACTGGGGAGAGGGTGTCAGATCTGTGCATTTCCTGTTGGCCCCAACTCATGACAGCCTGACTGGGAGCTAGTGCTTTCAGCCAAAGGGCAGTTGGTGCTGCGCTCCTGCTGAACCTTTGTGGGGCTGTTGAGTCTGATGGTGTTCCCATCTCCCCAAAAAGCCCTCGGGCAGAATTGCTGACTTCTTGTCTTTCAGAAGGTGGCCCTTTTCATGCAGTGAGCGTATGTCTGTCCCTGTTCCTTCACTTGTCCACTCAGCAAACTTAGTGCCTGCTTGCTATCAGTCTACTGATTCTGACCCTCAAGGGGCACCAGGCAGGCTGGCAGGCACTTTTTGCCTATGTTAGTCTTTGTTAAGTGTGGAGATTTGGAACTGAGCTGACTGAGTTCAAGCTCAGGTCTGGAATCAGGGGCTCTAAAAGGAATGAATCTGTGTGCAGCCTTTGTCCCCAGCTATCTCAGGAGAAAGGCTCCTCATGCCTCAGGACATTCACTGCCATCTTGCCAACAAGTGTGCTTGTTTGTCAAGCACTTCCTGAGCACCCTGTGTGTGCCAGGCTCAGGGCCAGGTACTGTCGCAGGGCTGGGCAAGTCTGCTCATTCTCCGCCATGGAGGGAGTGCAGGTTCTTCTGGTCTTTCTGTGCAGTCATGCTTCAAGTGGGCTCTGTGGTTTGATCTTTAGTTAGAAAGGAAAAGAGTCTCATTTCTCAGAAGGAAGTTGTGCAGCCTCGGAATTGTGCAAGGTGCCAGGTGCCTCCCAGAAAGGCAGGGCCAGTGTGTGGTGAAGGTGTTAGCATCTTGGGACAGGTGAAACCTTAAGCAGTGTAAAAATATCTGAATTTCTTGTTACGAACAGGTGGGGTCATGTCCTTTGGCACTAAGGTTATGCAGAGAGGGGTGGCTGCTTTTCCAAGAGGCCTCAACATTTAAAGCAGTCCACTTGTTTCTTTGGTCAGAGTCTTAGTGTACATGGATTCTAAGGTGGTAACTGCTGATGTTAATGACTAGTATTTGCCATCATCAGAGGTGTAGAGAAACTATTGTCATTTGTGACAGCTCCCTTAGAGCAACACCGCGTGAGCCTCTGTGGCTCGTTTTGTCTTGTATACTGGGCTGAATTAGAGTACCTGGCATCTTTATTGAAGTCCTTGTGCCCCCAGAATGGTATTTCTTTTTCTCTTTTTAAAATATTTTTATTGATTTCAGAGGAAGGGTCCTTGTGCCCCCAGAATGGTATTTCTTTTTCTTTTTTTTAAATATTTTTATTGATTTCAGAGAGGAAGGGAGAGAGATAGAAACATCAACAGTGAAAGAATCATTGACTGGCTGCCCCCTGCACGCCCCCTACTGGGGGGATTGAGTCTGCAACCCAGGCATGTGCCCCTGTCCAGAACCGAACCTGGGACCCTTCAGTCCACAGGCCGACGCTCTATCCACTGAGCAAAACTGACCAGGGCTAGAATGGTATTCCTTGCTGTACTGGCTGTTGGACCAGAAGCCTGCAGATGTCCTGCCTGTGGTGGGGGTCATTGCTGGACTGGGTCTGAGGGCTCTCCCTGGCCCTGTCCACCTTCTTTGAGTGAGTCACACTGAACGTGGAAATGCAAGCATAGTGCTCATTTTAGGAATTTAAGTCTAGACTACAGTATGAAGTTGTTAAGGCTGTCTGTGTAACCAGCTGTGTATAAATATAGCTTGGTACAACAGCTCACAGCAATTTCCTGTACCCTGGGAGAGTAGCAACTCAGAGGCCTGGGCCCACCTAGGACTTCTGGTGTATTGGCCTGGCAGGACCGCTGAGGGGGCAGGGTTTGCTCTGCAGGTTCTAGATCAAGGGTGGGAACCTTTTTTCTGCCATGGGCCATTTGGATATTTATAACATACAAAATTATCAGCTTAAAAATTGGCCTGCTATATTTGGTCAAACATTTAATTAACTCATCCCTAATGCCTTGGCAGGGCCAGACCAAATGATTTCTCGGGCCTTATATGGCCCTCTGGCCAGACATTCCCCATCCTGTTCTAGATTGTGGCAATGGTAGCACAACTCCAGATTTCACTAAAAATCATTGAATCATACACTTAAGTAGGTCTGTTTTTTAGTGTGTAAATTGTACTCACCAAAGCTGTTGAAAAAGGAAAAATCTCCCCAGGTGATTGGCGTTGCAGCCAGGGTGGAGAATCCTGTCCTAGAGTGAGGCGTCCTCCGCCTGTGCCAGCCGTGTGGGGGCTGCTGCTGTGGCTCTGTCATCATCATGCCCTGGTCAGCACCTCCCCGCCCCCCTGGGTCCAGACCTCCTCTCTTCCCTTAGCATTAGAAGGTCTTCTCAAACATTTCACTTCCATTAGGTGCCCCCTCCCTCAAATCCTCTGGGCACATTTCACTGGGCTTTTGTAAAGCTGGGCGAGCAGAGCTCTCCTGACTGCAGATGGCATAGGCCCCCAGAGAAAGCCGGGTTCCTGTGGCCAGCATCTATCTCAAAAGAAGGGCCTCAAGGACCGTTTCTTGCAAATTCTTATCAATAAAAAGTTAAATAATAGTATAATAAAATATGTAAATAGAATTTGCCTTAAAAACATAGTTTAATTATATGGATAACACTTAAAGTTGTTAATATTAATGACTCATTTATAAAATGTCTGCTTTTCTGATACAATGAAATCTTGTGTGAACTGTTGGAGCAGAGCAAGACCCTTGCCCCTCCCCATCAGAGGACCTGGTGTGGATGCCTCGGAGTGCAGAGTGCTGTGGTCCTCCACACCCTGCTTTCTTTCGTGAGCACTCTGCTCTAGGGTAGGGCAATAGTGGGCTAGTCAGGAGGCCAAAACTGAAGATCACTGTGGTCGTTATGAGAGTTATGTTATTGAACTTCTCACGGGCTCTCCATGATGTTGTTTTGTTAAGTGCATATGTTTGAATGTACAACATAACACTGCCAAGAAGGGAGACTCCCAGGCTTGCATTTCACCACAAAATCTGGTCCTTTTCCAGTCATGGCCAGAGGATGATTAGGGTTACTGCTCTCCCCACGCCCAGCTCCACTGATTGGCTATAACACCCTGGACTGTGTTCCTGGCTCCCCTGCCCCATTCCACTTTGTGGATGCAATTCCAAACCCCTGGACTCCCAAGCTGATATATTTCGTGGGTCACATGTCCCTACCCAGATTCTTAATCAGCTGAAGTCAAAGGCCTGTGGGTTTCCTAAATTTTTAGCCTGAGAACAGAACCACCCGCCAGTCTTCCCACTAATGCACTCAGCACTCAGCTTTGCAAACACGGTGGCCTCTGCCCTCCCCTCCCCTCCTCTTCCCATCCCTCCCCACATCACTTGAAGAAATCTTTATACCTGTAGCATTTATATTTTGACCACTCATTTGCTTTTTAGTTTTTTAAATCTGGTTTCCACCATTCCACTTGCCTTCCTGCTGTTTTGAATCCTCAGCTGGGTCCATCACACCCACTGGCCATGCCTTGGGCCTCATTCCCCTTGGACCAGTCTGTCCTCTCTTTAATGAATCACCACATTTCCCCATAGTTTTCCACCTGTTTCTTACTATTAACTTTCCCGGCTTCTTGTGCTCTGCTTTTTGCTGAGGTTTTTCTCACCAGTCTCCCCACTTTGTTGGTCTCATGACCTCAGGTGGCATCACTCTGCAGGGGCTCCTCGACCCTGACTTTGGTCATGCACCCAGACTTCGGCTTATTTCTCCCAGGGCTTCCCCAGCCCTATGCTCCATCTTGGACTCCTCTCGCCCCACACAGCTGGCAGCCCCTTCCGTGCTCTGCCCTCAAGCACCCTGCCTCTCCCTGCCTCTGCCAGGCCCTTGCTGCCTATCCGAGTGCCCAGCTCACAGGTCACCTGGCCTTCGCTGTGCCCTTCCTAAAGGCAAAGCTTAAGAACTTTGGTTCAGCCCTAACCGGTTTGGCTCAGTGGATAGAGCGTCGGTCTGCGGACTGAAGGGCCCCAGGTTCGATTCCGGTCAAGGGCATGTACCTTGGTTGCAGGCACATCCCCAGTAGGGGGTGTGCAAGAGGCAGCTGATTGATGTTTCTCTCTCATCAATGTTTCTAACTCTCTATCCCTCTCCCTTCCTCTCTGTAAAAAATCAATAAAATATATTAAAAAAAAAAAAGAACTTTGGTTCAGAGATCTTCCTTGGCTGCTGTTGCTGCAGAATACAGTTTAGAATTCTAAGCCGTGCTCTTGGGACCTCCACGATCCTGGCCTCCTTTCCCGTTGCTCTGGCTGCACCACACTGCTCTGGCTTCTGTGCCTGTCAGTGTTCTCTGCTTTTGCACATCACTAACTTACCTCCACCTCTACAGGACTAAATTCTTGTTCTTTGGAGCCCACTCAAAACCCTCCTCCTTCTTTTAGTCTCCACAGCTGGAGCGGATCCCAGAGCATTCTGTTATGCCTGAGGCAGAGACCACTTGCCTGCCCAGTTATTTCTGGGTGCCCCCCCAAGACCAGCTGTGTAGTAGCAGGATGGCTGGGGGTTTGTACCTCTGTGCTGGCAGAGGGGTGCTGGGCTTCAGTGCTATAGTGACTGATAGAACAGGCCCTGGAGGAGAGCACTGGGGCCAAGGAATGCAGCTCCAAGGGCATGGGCACGGACACAGGCGAGGCCCCAGCAGAGGAGCTCTCATTGAGAAGTGCAGCACACAGTAGGTGAGCCGTCATGGGAAGGCAGGTCTGAGAAGTTGGAAGAGACACAGGTATATAAATAAATCAATTTTGAGGGAAGGAGCTTCTATATTTGGGGGGAACAAGGTTTTAGAAAACAGTCTGAGACTGTTTACCTAGAGGTAATTTCTGTGTTAATGTTATGGTTTTCATTTTGAAAGTAAACTCTCAAGGACCCTTGGCTGTATTTGGTGGCATCCTACATGTCACTTTGTATATTTGAAAGCAACTTCATGGCTTAAAGTAGTGGTTCTCAACCTGTGGGTCGCAACCCCTTTGGGGGTCAAACGACCCTTTCACAGGGGTCGCCTAAATACATCCTGCATATCAGTTATTTACATTACGATTCATAACAGTAGCAAAATTACAGTTATGAAGTAGCAACGAAAGTAATTTTATGGTTGGGGGTCACCACAACATGAGGAACTGTATTAAAGGGTCGTGGCATTAGGAAGGTTGAGAACCACTGGCTTAAAGTCTAAACTTAAGGCCAAGTGTAGGGTTTGGTTTGTTTGGTTTACTTATTTTTTCCTCAGTTCTGGCAGAAATTGTGAATTTAGAGCTGGTAATTTCATGTGGAATAATTGACTGATATTAACAATAATCTCTTTGTTTCTACAGAGGTTGCAGAACTTGAAGCTAACTTACCTTGTAAGTATAGCTCCCCGTCCAACATTAATTCTGAAAAGTAATTGCATGGAGAAACTTGTGCATTTTAATAACCTGTATTTCATGTATGGTAGGAATATGCTTTAATTTTGTGCAGGCAGGGAACAGACCATTTTCAAGGATCTGATAGGAGGAGATGAGTCTTTCTGACCGTAGCAGGCGGTGTCTCTCTCCTCAATGTAGCAGAGGTGCATTTGGCTAGGTTTCCTATCTGCCCACATCGTCTTTGAGTGAAAAGGTCTATAAATCAATAATGCACAGCCCTAGTTTTGCTAGTGATCCTGATGCACCATTTTGGTCCAGAAAGTGCTCATTTATCTTTGTGCATGAGGTAGGATGGCTGTACTGGCTGATGTCACCAGGTCCCCGCCCCATGCTTGGTTCTCCCACTCAGACCATGTGCAGCCCTCACTCCTGAGCAGGCCTGCTGTCCAGGCAGTGAACCTGTGATATGTGGCATCGTTCCTTTCTTAAGACCTTCAAAGTCTGAAAGCTTTGGCCATTTAAATATTTTTTTGAATTAAAACTTTTTCTCGTCATACTTGGTTAAAAAATTGTTCTGATACTGAGGATGTGTGTGATGTGGGTGAAATATTTTACAAGTGGGTCTCCCAGTCTGGGCGAAGGTTACAGAGTGCCCATATGACTGGGGAGAGAGGGGGCCCATTTCCTAAAGCTGAAAGATAATCGTGGGGTACATCCTTCAGTAGTCATGAAATCAGTGTCTAAGGGTAAGTTCATATTGGTTTTTTTAAGTATTTTTAATATATAGTATTTATGGTTATAGTGGGCTGTGATATAAACTGTTTCTTATTGTGGGTCTTAAAAGTCATTGGATTGCTTGACCTCAAAGTTTTCTTTTAGTCAGAACTAGAAGGAAGTATCTTGGGATTCTATTAAAAGGTTATCTTTCTACCTACTAAAGTATTTATAAATGATTTGCTTTCAACTGTTCCAGGAAAACAAACAAACAATCATGTATTTAGATAGGTTAGACAGAGCAAGATTGGCAAAATGTTGAAACTGGGTGAACTATTATACTAATAGTTTATTATACTATTCTCTTTTTTCCTTATTTTTTAATTTAAACCCTTACCTGGGAATCTTTTCATTTTGTTTTTGTTTTATTTTTTGGTTAATTTTTTAGAGGGAGGGAGAGGGAGAAACATCAATCAGTTGCCTCTTATACACACCCCCACCAAGGATTGAACCCACAACCTTTTTGGTGTACGGAGGTGACACTCCAACTGAGCCACAGGCTGGGGCTTTTTTCCTTTTTTTAAAAAAATATATTTTGATATTTTTAGAGAGATAGGGGAAGGGAGAGAAACATTGATGTGAAAGAGAAGCATCTATTGGCTGCCTCTTTCATGCCCGCTACTGGGGGTTGAGCCCACAACTCAGGCATATGCCCTGACTGGGAATTGAACTGGTGACCTTGGTGCATGGGATGACGTTTAACCAACTGAGCCACACTGGCTGGGCCTTTTTTCCTATTCTTTTAAAATTTTGTATCTAAGGACATTTTTCTAATGAAAAAATGAAGTGGCCTTGGTGGTATTGGTCAGTTGTTAGGGCGTGAGCCCCTGCACCAAAGGGTCTCAGGTTTGATTCACAGTCAAGGGCATGTACCTGGGTTGCAGGTTTGGTCCCAGGCCCCAATCAGGGTGCGTGCAGGAGGCAATTGGTCAGTGTGTCTCTTTCACATCAATGTTTCTCTCTCTCCCCTTCCCATCCTCCCTTCCACTCTCTCTAAAAATCAGTGGGAAAAATATCTTCAGGTGAGGATTAACAACAACAAAAAGAAGTGATTTTCTTGTTTTCTCCTCCCATCATGTCTTCTCCCCCGCCCCGAACTTAAACATTTACACACATTTAGACATTTAATCAAGGACCACAACAACTTTCCACTTAAACACAGTTCATTTTGTCTTTGAATGTGAATCTTACAGATTGCGGTTTTTAACCCATAGAGTGTAGCTTTAGCTTTACCTAAAAATTTGGATTAAAAATAATAAAACTTTATAATTGGCTTTCAAACCAATATTTTAACTAAATAGCTTAGGTTTAACTAAATATCTTAGCTCTTACAGCTAAAATGTCAGATTAAAAAGGCTACAAGCTAGTTCTGGCTGGTGTGGCTCATTTGGTGGAGCATCATCCCATACACCAAAAGGGTGGTGGGTTCGATTCCTGGTCAGGGCACGTGCAGGGGGCAGCTGATATCTCCCTCCCTCCCTCCCTCCCTCCCTCCCTCTCTCCTTCTCTCCCTCTCTCCCTCCCTCCTCCTCTTTAAAATCAAGTTAAAAAAATGTTTAAAAGGCTACGTGCTATATCACTCTTCTTTTTTCTTTTTCTCCCTACCCTCACCCCCAGTTACAGTGGGGAGATCTAAATTAGTTTATACAAATAAGCCACTTACTGTGGTAGGTGCGAATGACTGGTGCTAGTTGAGCAGACCAGAAATTTGACCTGGGTTCTTTTTCTGGTTTTCCTATGTTTAGTGAGCCTTTATCCATCCATGTGTTTTAATCTCCCTGAGGTATGGTTTGTTTTCTAAGTAAAGTAGCCTGATTCTTGAAATCAATGGAAAGATTTATATTGATAGTGACCATTTAAAGGAAAGAAAACATCTCAATTTAGAATTAAGTAGTAAAAGACAGTAGCAGGAAATCACATGGGAAAAATCACTGATTTGCCAGTTTAGCACATTGGTACAATTATCAAACAAGCAAGGGGATCCAACACCGTTAACCTGGGTGTGTGTTTCGAGGTTGGCCTCATGGGAGCTGCCGCCAGCTCTCAGATCTTCCTGACGTGCTCTTTCTCTTGCAGGTACCTGTAAAGTGCATTTTCCTGATCCAAACAAGCTTCATTGCTTTCAGCTAACTGTAAGCCCAGGTAATATTCTTATATACTTCTTAAACAGCAAATTTTAAAGGCTGCCCAAACCTATAATCTTTGGCTTGATTTGTCCTCTAACTTTTTGAGTTTATGACACTAATGACCTTCCCATATGACAACAAGATGTATACTTTGTGGTCAGATAGAGCCTAGTGCTGTGAATCTGAGGCATTCGTTCCAGTAACGAGGGACAGACCAGGCCACAGTGAACAAGGACAGGTTGCTGATGTGTGGTGAGGAGTGTGCGCTCTGGAGTCTTACCTGGGTTCAGATCCTGCTCTGTATGTAGCAGCTGTGGGACCATGAAATTACTTCCTGACCTCTCAGCCACAGCCCACCAGCACGGAGTGGGATGGAACGGGCCCTATCTCCCAGGACGGTTGTGAGGATTACGCAGATAGCTGAGCGCAGTACAGGTGGACAGGGCGGATTGCCAGCTGTCCTCCTTGGAACTGATAAGTGTCTCAGCTCCAGGTGCCCGACTCCTCCCTGGTCACACTGGGCAACGTGAGGGAGGACTGTGCTTTTCGGTTCACAGTGCAGCTCCAAGGGTTCCAGGTTCCAGCACAGGCACCAGCATTACCTCAGGCAGTGGGCGTGGTGCCTATGGGAGGGAGGGGGGCAGGGAAGGGGAGGACCAAGGGAATTAACTAGAGGGAAGGGAATGTTGTGAAGAAAATGAGGGTGCTGTGTGTGGAGGATGGAGAGGGGATGAGAAACAGACTCAGGAGTTACTAGCTAATTTAAAAGTGAAAGAATGCAGAATTTCAGTAGGTAATTCAGATAATGACCCATAAATAAGCCCTGGAAATGTTTCCCTATAGGTAGGTAGGTAGGTAGGTAGGTGGGGGGGTGGAGGGGGGAGAGTGGAGAGAGAGGAGAGAGTTTTCCTGTAAGATATTTTTTATAATAATAGGAGAAATCCCATTTTCAAAATCTGCTTGAAAAGTTTTAAAAGTTTATTGAATCTATGTGGTGGTTCTATAAACTGCTCTGGGACATGAATGTAAATTCAGTCTGGTACCATTTCCACTAAGATGAGTGGCACTAGGATAGATTAAACCTGAATGGGCTGTTCCATATGCCTGACGCCCAGAGATAACCAGACTCAGGACTTCAAGCTGAAATGGCGAAAATGGTGACCACTCTTGGCCACCTTCATAAAACACCTGCATGTTCTGGTTTTAGTGAAGGGCACCGAGCACTTTGTGTTTCATGGTGACTCAGATCACCAGTGCAGGGTATTTTGAGAAATTGTCCTGGGGATGAAGACTGGTTCTCTGTTGAGTAAGCAGTCTCAGAGTTGTGTATTTGTAGTAAAAACATTGGCTGCCCTCTGCCTTTCTAGCCATTGTCTGTGGCTCTCAGGGATTCTGTGGCTGTGTCCTGCCCAAGAGTCCGCTTTGTGTCCTCAGCCACCTGTTGGACTTTGCCATGTTTATCACTATCTTACTGGAGTGGGTTTGTGTCAAGTCCAACCTCTGATCGTTTCTTTTTTGATTGCATTTCCTCCCCCCCTAATTACATGGATGTTGTGATTATGTATATGACACTGTCTTTCATGTTCTTTCTGTTGTTCTTGAAAACAGAGCTCAATTGTTTGTTATAGTTTTGGTATTCTCTGTTGGATCAGATTAAAAAGGAACTTGTGTTTCTGTGCCTGTAACTGTGAGAATTTAGCATTTCTGTTTGTGACATGTGCATGTCAGGGACACAATTGTCGCCTGGAGCTGTGTGCCCAGCGTGCTCCTCACACACCGAGTCAAAGAGCCTGCGGCTCCTGCCCTTGGTTAAGAGAAGCAGGGCTGCTGTCTGCCAGCCCTGAACACTGGCCCGATAGCCTGGTTTTTTAAAGACTTTCTGGAGTCGCACTCTTTTTAGCATTGAAAAAACGGACAGAGATGTGCCTAAGAAGTAGAGTTTTCAGGATGGATGAAGCAGATGGTGTTGACACTGGATCATTTGCAGCCAGTAATCCTGGGGCCGAGTCTGAAAGCCCAGGAATGACTGTGCTATCTCAGCTCTGGGTGCTCAGGGTGGAGGAGCTGCTTCTGCATTTGAAGCTCAAAGCTCTTTGACTGGCTTCTGGCAACTTGATGACATTTCAGTTTTGGTGGTTTTTGGAGTGTCCCTCATGCTTGGAAGTAAATGTGCTCTTCAGAGAAAACATGGAACTGAAATTTGGTGACAGAGGAAAAGAAATGAATTTAGGAGAAAACAAAGTCTTCACATGGACTCACAAAACAAAGCAAAACCCCAAACTCTGGCTCATCTCTCCCCCAGAGCCTCCTGTGAGGTTTGACACACTGGGCCCGCCAGGTCATAGTTGCCCAGCTGGTCTGTGGAGGTCCCTCAGCCTGCCCCACTGTGGTGTGGAGGCTTTTAGGCAGAGGGGGCTGTGGACATAATTATTATTTTAATTTTAGTTTTTCCTTTGTAAGTACATTTACTGGGGTATGAAATTACAAACAAAATGTACTAATTTTTTAAAAATATTTTTTATTGATTTCAGAGAGGGAGAGAGAGATAGAAACATCAATGATGATGAGAGAGAATCATTGATTGGCTGCCTCCTGCATGCCCCCTACTGGGGATCGAGCCCGCAACCTGGGTATGTGCCCTTGACCAGAATTGAACCTGGGACCCTTCTGTCTGCAGGCTGATGCTCTAGTGACTGAGCCAAACAGGCTAGGGCTAAAATGTACTAATTTGAATTGTACAGTATAATGCATTTCAAAAAATGTATACCCCTTCGTAACCACAACATAGTAAAGATGTTTCTTTCCTCCACTCCCGAAGTTCCCTTCTGCTTCTTTGCAGTCATTTCCTCAGCCCCTACTGCCCACCCAAAAGTCCTTTCTGATTTCTAGTATCATGGATCAGTTTTGTCAGTTCTTACATTTCATATACATGAAATAAATGTGTACCTACTCATATATTAAGAGAATCCTATATATCCTATATACTTTGGCTTTTTGCAGGTAACATGTTTTTAAATTCATACATGTTTGGCGTGTCAGTAGTTTGTTCCTCTTTATTTATTATATGAATGTGCCATAATTGTTCCTTTTCCTGTTGGTGAACATTGGAATTCTTCCCAGCTTTGGATATTACGAATAAGACTGCTATTAACATTCTCTTACCATCCTTTGTATACTCAATACGTTTCATTTCTCTTCATTTCCACTTAAGAATGAAATCTCTGGGCCTAGCCAGCATGGCTCAGTGGTTGAGCATCGATTGATGAACCAGGTCACGGTTCGATTCCCAGTCAGGCCATATGCCTGGGTTGAAGGCTTGATCCCCAGTGTGGGGCATACAGGAGGCAGGCAGTCAATGATTCTCATTCTCTCTCATCATTGATGTTTCTATCTATCTCTCTCCCTCTCCCTTTCTCTCTGAAATCGATTAAAAAAATATATATATTTTTTTAAAAAGAGTGGAATATCTGAGTCATGGGAAAAATATATTTAATTTCTTAAGAAACTTTCTGAAGTGGTTGTGCCATATACCAACTAGCAATGTGTGACAATTTCCGACTCTCCTACTCTCTACAGTCCAACAAGAAGTGACATCTTAACGATATTGAGTCTTCCAATCCATGAGCATGCAGAACATCTGCATTTACTTAGGTCTTTTTTACTTTCTCTTGGCAGCATTTTGTAGTGTTAGTGTATATATAGGTCCTGCAAGCACTTCGTTATATATGTCACTAAGGATTCCATGTTTTTTGAAGTTGTTGTAAATGGTATTTTTAAAATTTCTATTTTACTTGTTATTAGTATATAAAAATGCAATTGATAATTTAATTTTTTTTTATTGATTTCAGAGAAGGGAGAGAGAGAGAGATAGAAACATCAATGATGAGAGAGAATCATTTTCGGCTGCCTCCTGCACGCCCCTTCCTGGGGATGTGCCCTGACTGGAAATGGAACTGTGACCTTTGGTTCATAGGTTGACACTCCATCACTGAGCCACACTGGCCGAGTAATGCAGTTGATTTTTTAAAATATATTGTCATGTGTCTTGTTACCTTACTAAATTCATTTATTAAATTCTGGTAGCATTTTTTGTTGTTAATCCTCACCTGAGGATATTTTTCCATTGATTTTAGATAGAGAGGAAGGGAGGGAGGGAGATAGACAGAGAGTGACAGAAACATCGATGTGAGAGAGATACATCAATTGGTTCCTTCCCACAAATGCCCCGACGAGGGCTAGGGATTGAACCTGCAACCCAGGTAAGTGCCCTTGACTGGGAATTGAACCGTGACCCTTCAATTCAAGCACCAATGTTCTAACCAGTGAAAAACACCAGCCAGGGCTGGGAAAGACCTTTTAAGCATAATACCAAATAAAGAAACCACAGAAAGACTGGCTTAAAAATGAAAGCTAGTTGGACAACAAAATCAAATGCAAGCAGCAGATATTAAATGTTTATTTTGTGTAAACAGCTGAGGGAAGCGATAAGATGTAGTATTGCTGATTTGTTCCTGGTGAGAAATAGTTTGGGGGAAGTTGAACCTTTGTTTTAAAGATCGGTTAATTTTGTCAAATTGTAGAGTTTAATTACTGTGGGGGCATGTCCAGGCTGGTGCACATTCGTGCCCGGCGCCCTCTGCTGGCGGCAGCTTGCAGTGTTTACACCTGGGAACTCGGCTCACCTGCAGGTGGACTCTAGAAGAGGCAGAGTGGCTGGTGGCACAGTTAAAGGCATTGGCATAGTGCTGTGGGGTCTGCAGACCTGGGGAGTGGCATGGAGGTGCCACTGCAAACCTGGGCCTCCTGCATGCCCGCCCCCTAGCTGTTGACCAGGCACATTAGCGAGGCAGCAGTTCTGTCTGGTTCAAGGGTGTGTCTCCAGGGCTTGGAGCAGTGCCCTGCACAGGGTCTGTCCTAGTAAACCTTTGTTAAGCAGCCAGGAGCCATGTGCCAGGCACTGGGGGTTCAGCAGTCACCACTAGTCCCTTACTCCATGGAACTGATGTTCTCGTGGGGAGACCAGCAGCAAACAGGTGACCACACAGCTTAAATAAGGCGTTGCCTGTCATGAGATGTGTTGAGGGGACATGCTGGGTGCTGCAGTGCAGAATAGGTGGGCCCAGGTGAGAGCGGGCTGCCTAGGTCAGGGTTCTGGAGACTGAAGAAGAGGAGCCAGTCTTCAGAAGGAGGAGGGCGTCGGGCCAGGGAGGAGCCAACAGCAGGCAGGCATAGTGGAGCGGTGTCTGAGCCAGGTCGGGCAGGATCTGGTGGCCTGACGAAGGACCCTGAGTCCTCTTGTGAACTCTTACTCCTCTGTGTTTGCCATATCCTAACATGGTGTTTGCTTTTGTTTCCTTTTTCTTTTTTTTTAATTTAAAGAATTTTTTGTTTTGTTTTGTGTTTTTTTGATAGATGAGGGTTACTACCAGGGTGGAAAATTTCAGTTTGAAACAGAAGTTCCTGATGCATACAACATGGTGGTGAGTAGCCTGTGCCTGAGCCCCCGTTCCCCCTTCACGTGGCTGGGTGGCCGTCACAGGGGCCAGCACTCCCCGGACTGTGTCCCCTGTTACCCACCCAGTCCTGGGACTGAGCATGAAATCCCTGATGTTTTGTGGTTAGTGTCACTCAGCAGCAGTATCTGGAGTCCTAGTAGAGAGAGCCTTTTGTGAACAAGTGCTTGTGAGGACTGCTGGGCAGTCTGCAATGGGAGCAGCCCCGCCCCTCCAGGGACCTTATGCCAATTGGCAGCTTCACCGTTAGTGCTTGGATATTCCCTTTTCCTAAACTCATCAAGATGGCATATTTTCATTATTTTTTTCCTTTTTGCCATTTTGGGAGGAAATAAATGTTTTTTAATTGTCATTTGAACTTTCATTTATTAAATAGGATGTTAAATACCTTTTCTCCTTATTAGCTATTCATGTTTTTTATGAGCTGTTTTGTGCTTGTAGGATGTTAAATACTTTTTCTCATTAGCTATTCATGTTTTTTATGAGCTGTTTTGTGCTTAGCCTTTGTTCTGTTGGAAAAATAGTATGCGAAACTATTTTTAGTTTTCTTAGCTGTGCTGTAAATATTTTCCTTGTTTTTTCCTGTCTCCTGTTGTTGTTCTATAAAAGTTTGTTTTTTGTTTCATCACTGCGGTCAAGTCTACTTTTCCTTCATGAGCTTTTCATGTTAGGAGATGCTTTAAAGAGGCCTACACCCCAATAGCTCATCTCCGCTTCCTCCAGTGCTCTGTGGCTCTCACCTGTGTGTTTCCTGCATCGGGACGGAGCTCTGAGTGGGGCTCTCACTGTGTTCTAACGCTTAGCCGCTTGTCCACTGAAGAATCCCTCTCCCTGCACTGGCTGTCATTATTACACTCTTCGCCCTGCGATGAATGGATGCAGTGCCAGCCACTGGGGTGGGCGGTGGAACTAGCTATTTCCTGTTTATCTCATTTTGAGGGTGGCAGGGTCTACAAACACAGTTCTGTTTGGAAAGTGTGTCTGAATCTGGGTCCACGATTCTCATGCAGAGGTTTCAGTTAAGAGGGCCATTGACAAGGGAGGTGTCTGTGGAAGGTGTGAAGGGACAAGGAGAAAAGGGTGCAGATGCAGACAGATATTTAAAGACATGAAGTTAACACTAGGTGGGGTGACCATGTGCAGGCCAGGACTCCATGAAAGGGAGGGAGGGAGGGAGGGAGCGAGCTCGGTTCCTTCAGGTACCGCGCCGGCCAGTGATTGAGTCTGCCCACTGTGTTAACTATAGTCAGGTACCCACTAGTTAACTATATTGTTACTCAGTTGCCCATTAGAGAGAGTTACACAGCCTGGCCTCCCTGCTTCCGCCTGCAGGCCTCGCTGGAGTGCAGGCTGTCCTAGCATCTCCCTGTCAAATGCACTCTCATTCATTTGCCGAAAAGCAGATGAGCATATTAAACTTACTCTGGACCTAAATCTGTAATCCTCAGACATCTATATTTGCATAGTTGGATGAATCATTTTTTAGAGTCCCGTGATGTCTTAGTTTTTTGAAATCAGGAAGAAAATTCATGATGGTGCTGAGAGAGTATGTTTTTTAATATTTTTAAATTGATTTTTAGAGAGAGGAAGGGAAAGGGAGAGAGAAACATGCTGTGAGAGTGAAACATCAATCGGCTGCCTCCTGCACAGCCCCTATTGGGGATTGAACCCGCAACCTGGGCATGTGCCATGACCAGGAATCGAACTGTGACCTCCTGGTTCAACCCCTGAGCCACACTGGCCAGGCTGCTTTTATAGTTTTAAAAGAACAACTTTATTCAACACACCACATCATAAACAATGTTGGACGCCTTATTTCCCAGTACTCGTTTCATTCTCCCTGCTGTGAGTGTAAATGGACCAAACTTCCATCTAGGAAGATGGCAGTGGCATCTTCAGGAACACACACAGGGAATGGCACCACTTCAGGAGCAGTAACTTTCAGCCACAGCTCAGCAGCTCCTGAGGAATCTGTGGGGTCCTGTTGGCATTGGGCATGAGCGTTGCAGACACCCCCTGGAGTGCACGTGGGCTCCTCCTCACAGCGGGACCAGTCACCATCAGGCCTCGGGGCTTGTAGAGGGTTCTGTTGGGGGCACGTCAGGCTTTACCAGCAAGACCAGCACATGTGGGTGCAGGGTGACAACACAGTCCCGCATGGGTGATGTGAGCCAGTATCGAGGTTGAATGCCTAGTAAGGAGGAGAACGAGGGACTGGGTGGGCACGTGGTGAGGCTGTGGTCTGTGACGTGCTTGGAGGGCCTGTGACCTCTCTCTCTGCATTTGCAGCCACCCAAAGTGAGATGCTTGACCAGGATCTGGCACCCCAACATCACAGAGACGGGCGAGATATGTCTGAGGTGAGCCCTCTTCTTCCTGTCTTCCACATTTCTGAGCACTGTGTGTGAGCCTTGGATTTCTAGAGGGAAGATTTTGAAGCTGGGCCAGATTGGGAGGGTTGGGAGACCTCCCTGGGGCTTTGGGCTGCACTCACACCTGGCTTCTGCCTCCAGACCTGAGGCCTCCTATGCCCTTTGCTGGCCAAGGCTGTGCAGTGTCATGCAGCCGCCCTCCGGGAGCCTTTACCCTTTTCCTGTCCTGTTTTAATGAGGCCACATTCCCTCCACGTGGCTGATTTTAGCTAAGGGAAAAATGCCATTCATGAAATCCAGGAAGAAAATCTCCTTTCACTGCTGCTCTGGTAAACACTGGTCACCTTTGAAAGGCAGTGTGCAGCCTGTGACTGCTCCCAGCTGCTCAGACAGCGGATTCCTCTTCCTTTCTTACAGGTGCAGTTAGCACCCATTTCCCACTTTATATGTGGTGCCTCCTCTCCATGTCAGCCTTATTTTTTATAGTTAAGAGTACATTTTATAAGAGCGTACATGTTTAGAAGGCATCTTCCCTCTGAAGTGTCTGCCCTGTAAGTATTGAAACTTTCAGTTTCAGGTGATAAGTGGCGTCTGGTCCAGCTTTCTCCCCAGGCTCTCACCTGTGCTCACGTTCCCTTCCTTGCTCAGAACTAGATCTGAGGAATTCCTCTTGTCACTTTTGCTGTCTTCTGAGAAATCAAATTATTAGCAGAGTATGACAGGAATTTAGCAGATGCTAGCCTGCTACAAAAGCCAGAAACATTGATAAGTTAAGATTGAAATACAAAAACAAAATCCAAAGCGAAGAGCAGCTGATTACATTGTTTGTGAAAGTCCTTACCAGTCAGTATGAAAAAGGTGGACACCCCACTCTGGCCAGCTGTCCCAGTTGGTTGGAGCATCATTCCTGCACCAAAACGTTATGGGCCTGACTCCTGGTCAAGGCACATACGTAGGGCTGCGGGTTTGATCCCTGGTCGAGGTGTGTACAGGAGGCAGCCGATCGATAATTCTCATTGATCTCTCTCTCTTCCTCTCTCTCTCTAAAATCAATAAAAATATATCCTCAGGTGAGGATTTAAATAAATGTTGAAAAAGAAAAAGGTGGACATGCCCATGGGGACAGTAGGCATCAGCTGCAAACTAGTGGTGGCACAGGAGAGAAGCAGGGCAGGAAGCCCTGAGGGTGCTCCGTCTCCTTGGAGCTGTTAGGTTCTGGTCAAGCAGCAGTGTGATATAATTCAGCAATGCCAAACTAATTTTCACCAAAAGGAACCTTGGTAATAATTTTTCAAAATATGGAAAGTTCATTTTTGTGAGGATGTGCTGACCACTCTGCTTTGTCTGTTCCAGTTTACTGAGGGAACATTCGATCGATGGCACTGGCTGGGCTCCCACGAGGACATTAAAGGTAGGTGCCTTTGACCACAGCCCTGCCCGGTGACCTCTCCCTCAGTAACCAGCCACCTGTAAGAACAGCCATGTCCTCTCTGTCCTGTGCACACAGGAGGCCAGGTGCACCCTGCCCCTCCTCTCCCCACCACCCACTACCGCCTGGGGCTGCTCAGGCAAGCACTCGCCCTTCAGTTCCTCTGTCCCCGTTCTCTGCGATGCAGGGGCATGTCAGGTCGTCTGTTCTGCCTTTGCCCTTTACCATCTTCATATAATATATAATTGTTGTTTTTTCTTTCTATCCCCCTATCCCCTACCCTAGTCTTCTATAGTTGTCTCACCCTTAAAGGTGAGGAGAGTTGCCAGGAGTTGGTAGAAGGGGAGGAAAAGAAAGGGGAGGTGTGACTTCTATGTGTCCCTTCTGAGCTACCTCGGGGTACACTGCACAGAGGAGGGGCGGCAGGACAGCGGCCGGGTCTGCTTTGGGGAGGGCTGTGGAGAGGGGAGCTACGGGGACTAAATAAATGGCCCACTTGCTTCTACACCATAGGCTTGAGTTGCTTTCAGGGCCGATGTCTCGGTGCCTACGTGAGCCACCAGCTGTAGCCTCCCCTCAAGGCGTTTCCGCAGTGGTGCCCATAGGACACCTAGGGCTTCTTCCTGTGGCCTGTTCACTCTGTCAGAAGTTGTCAGGCATGGGCCAGTGTTCACTTGCTAGTGAACAGCTAGCTACCTGACTATCACCATCATTTTTGACTAATGAAACGGTTCCAAACCATTGTCACCTTTGCCCTGTCTGTGTTGGGTCAACACTGCCCAGGAGAGCACCTGCCCCATGCTGGTTCGGGCAGCTTGGTTCCCAGCTGCACTTTACCCCAGACTCAGCACAAAGCCATGGCCATGCCATCTTCCCCGGTGACTCCTCCTCTGAGGCCCCAGACTCAGCACAAAGCCATGGCGGCCATGCCATCTTCCCCGGTGACTCCTCTGAGGCCGACAGTCTTAGCCGGGCAACGTGAAAGGGCTGTGGGTGTCAAACCAGCCTGTTTGCGAGGCCCTGAGAGCTGGCTGTACACTGCACATGCTGCCCCATCTCAAAAGCAGTGTTTTCCCCACATGGCACCTTTGGCTTAGTCGTGCACATGGCACCTTTGGCTTAGTCGTGCATGGGTGATAAAAGTTGCACCAACTAAAACTACTTCTAAGTTTGGGCCAGATGCACAGAGATGCTGCTGGGCGTGTCCCTCAGGTCAAAAAGGTGACGCTGAGCAGGATAGGACAGTCCTGGGCCCTGCCCTTTACAGGTGCCAGGCTTCTCTTCCCACAATGCTTCGCAGACTAACTTTTAGGCCCCACCTTCTAAAATAATGCGCAGAAACCTGACTGTATTCATCATATACTGACTGAGTGGTTGGTCTCTCAGAGACCCTCCTCATTCCTGTTCCTCGGCTCTCAGAAGAGGATAGTAGACACATTGCAGTGTCACCGCTCTTAGAGGACACAGAACCAGAGACACGTGTGGGTCAGAGTGGCCCCGCAGGCGACTGCACCTGACCACACCTCCTGGTAGACAGCTGCAGGATGGTGTACAGACCACTCTGTGGCCAGAAGGGACTAGCAGGTGTTGTGGATCACCAAGTAGGCACTTTGGGGGAAGGATACAGGGAAGGCATTTGGGGCCCTGTCCCAGAGTCAGGGGACAATGCAGACTTCCTGTGGTCATGACCGTGGCTCCTCATGAGGTGTGGTCTCTGCTGCCACGAGCAGCCTGGCCTGGCCTCTCACCACACCCTGGGCGTGCCCTGCCCTCTTGGGACTTAGCTTCTGTACAGGCAGTCCCTCGACTTGGCAGGTGCTCCCTCCTGCCATCCCTCTTCCTGGCAGTGCCTCACGCCCTCTCCTGGATGAGTTCACTGTGGGAACACGCCTGTGGAAGCTCCGTCACACACCGTCTGTCTGACCCCTCCACCAGCCTGAGTGCTGGTGTTCACCCCAGCTCTGGCCCCAGGCCTGGCTCACACCAGAAGGATGGATGGACGGATGGAGGAGTGGGTGTGGATAGACGAGAGACAGCAGAGAGGGCAATTAAAATACTAGCAGAGTATCAGATGAGAATGAGAGTAGACCTGAAACAGACAAGCCCCTTGAGCTGGTGAAAGGAAGTCCAGGAAAGAGTCTGATTGAGTCGCCCATCACAAGTCAGTCTAGAGAGAAAGTGGGTTTCTGTCATATTTTAATTAAAATCTCTGATCTTTGAATTTAAAAAAAATGTCTCCCTTGATTTTTGAAGTAACTAGAGCAAAATTATTAAGACTCAGTGGGATGGTGGGTGATCTGGTCCCCAAGAGGCGACAGATACCAAAACAGCAGAATTTATCTTAAAGGTGGCTGGACTCTGCCGGGGAGTGACAGGTGAGCATACTGTGAAGTCAGGGTGTCCTGGGCAGAAGCTGCCTAAGGGCTGTTACCGCCCAGGATTGGACTCGTCGTCGCGGGAGGGCAGTTTCTGTTCTCTGAGTTTTCACTCACTGCCTGTAGCTGCTCACCTCTGAATTTCCCAGAGTCTGTGGTTATAATGAGAAAAGTTGTTTTAATTTTCTGGCTTGGGAAAAACAAAGCCTGCAAAGATGAATTCTGATATGGTCCCGTACATATTTCTTATGGGTTTGAAAGACTGCACAGGAGCCTGAAACTTGTTTTCTTTTTTCCTCATTCCAGGATGTTGTTTGGGGATTAAACTCTTTGTTTACTGTAAGTATATTGACCAAAATCCCAAGCTTCTCTGGTTCCCCTGACTGCTGTTGTGAGCCCATAAGAATAACACTGGGATTAAAGACAGCACCATGTCCATACTGTCTCACTTTTGTGAGACTGGCCCTGAGGGGGTTTGCAGTGACATGTGGGAGGTGACTGGGGGCAGAGCGCCCCCACTCCCCAGGCCAGGTCGGTGGCTTCAGTCTCCTCACTCACGTGGGGGTGGGTCCTCTGGCAGCACCTGGCAGCCCCGCTCCGTCTGCTCTCACAGCAGCCCAGCCCATAGCCCTGTTCACTCCCACCTGACCTGGTTTGAGTGAAGGAGGATGTGCTCACCCATCTTGAGGCTTTTCACAAACCCAGAAACTTTGAGTCATTCTCGTATTAGTGACGAGCTGCCAACAGGGTTCACTGTCTTTAGAAAACAGCTCATCATGGCAGGGCTGTAGCGCAGGAAGGGGCACAGCTGAAAGCTGGAGTTTGGATTTTTATATATTGTTATGTTTTCCTTGGAGTTTTTGATCAAAAAGGAGCTTTGGAAGAAAGAAAAAAGCTCTGCTACTGTTGGTAAAACCTAAGGTCCCTGCATGAAAATGAGGCTGTCCAGGACAGCCCACGGGACTGTGGCTGTTGGAGGGACAGCTTCCTGGCTCATAGTGGATGTGCCTACAGAGTCACCCTGGGGTGGGGCTGCTGTCCTCAACCTGTCATCAGAGGCCACAGGCTTCTTGTTCTTGATTCTTGATTCAGCAAAATAAAAAACAAACAAAGCCTCAAAATTAGACTCCAAGTCCCCATCTTCCTTGCCTTCTGATCTGATGTCACTTGGCAACACCTGGAACACAAGCAACCAGCGCTTGCTGATTTCAGGACCTCCCTTAGTCTCCATGGGAAGGAAATACCAAGGGGAACGAGCATCTGGACGATTTTCTGCTGGGCCCAGTCGTTTTGCTGTGATTCTGTTTTTGACTTTCATGTAAGTGAATGAAGTGTTACTTCTGGAGCAGCAGGGCCTGAGCATGGTTGAAACTCTGCCTGGTGGCCAGGCCTCTTTGTCACAGCCAGAGAGCACACGGGCCCACGCTCATTGTATCCTCCACGAAACCCATCCTGCTTCGTACAGGTGCCTTGGCCCTGAATCGGAAATGATTGTGACCAGCAACTCGCTGCAAGGGAATTAAGGGGAGGAAATAGTGATGGCTCTTTGGAGTTTTCTTTTTTTCTCTTAAAGAAGTCTGGTGTAATCTTCATCCCTCCAAGTGCTCCAAACCTCCCAAATTCTAAAGAGCCAATCCAGATTGCTAATTAAATCAGTAATGGTTATTCCAACCAGTATAGTCATTTTAGGTCAAAGGTGAGGTAAAGAAGATAAGGAATTCTGTGTGTTTGGTGTGGTCTTTGTACACACTGGGTGTCTTGTCTGATATGTACTTGATGTTTTTACCTGTTTCCAGGACTTGGAGTTTAATTTCCCAACCGTAAATGACCATAGAGACTTACAGTTTTTCTTTGTTATATTTTCTTTGTCATACCCATATTTATTTTCAAATCAGGGATACAGTCCACAAATTTAGCACTTGCCCTAGGAGGAATATGGTTGTCTACGATGGTCCTTCTGTGGCTTTGGAAAGTGGGGACTCATTATAAAACAAACCTTACTGTCCGGGTAGAGGAGGAACACTCAGTATAAAGATCAGACGTGGCCCATCTGAAATCCCTGGTGTTGCTTGAGGGTGGGGGAGTAGCCTTCCCAGGGCTTTCCTAAGGTAGAAGGGGACTGGTGCCCCCACACCCTCCGAGGCCTAAGGCACTGTCCTGCACTCAACTGGGTTCCAGGCTGGGAGTGATGCTTGTGAAGGTGAGTTAGGAGATGAAAGGAAACTACAGTTAAGGCCAAGTAGAAACCACAGACTTACAAAGGCAAAGTTGTTAATCACAAAATGAAGGGGGGATTCATTTTGAAAGAAAAAAGAGAATAATGGGACTTTAATTTGGAAAGCTCATAATGACTGGTTTTTCATTCTCCAGTTACTAATAGCATTAGAAATTAATGTGATGGCTGTTGCCCCCATTTCCACCACATTTTGGACAGTTACATATAAACATGATCCCCCCTCAGCTGTTCATCACCATGTTGAACAAAGTACAAGGTGAGTGCTCCATTTGAGAGGAGCTTCATGGCGGACTCCTCAGCTCCCTGGGGCTTCATTCTCCAGTTTGCTGGTCGGTTTCAGTTGCCTAGTGCTTAACATGAAGACGTGTCACAGTGGAGTAACAGAATCTATCTTTACTTGTGTTTCTATCTTTAAGGATCTTCTGAACTTCGATGACCCACTGAATATCGAGGCTGCAGAGCATCACCTGAGGGACAAGGTAGGCTGGGGACAGGAGGTCCTGGCTGGTGTGTTTGGCAAAGAGATAACTATGTCTCTGGACTAGATAGGCGCAAAGTTGAGAATGGTGGGATCCAGGACTGGAATTTAAAGCAATTTATAATGACGTATCACAGTGCATGTGAGTGGTTTCAGTAAAGTGTTTGACTCAAGGTCAGATGTGTTTTATTGGGAGAGAATTCGTAGTAGAATCTGGTATACTGTTCCTTTACCTTTAGCAACATCGGAATATAGAAGGGACTGTGGGTGGCGTGATGCCCTCAGTGCCCTCTGGGCCCCCAGCAGCCTCCTCACCTTCCACACCTTTCCCAGAGCTCTGTGACTGTGTAACGAATGGGGTCACATTCATTACTCCAGTCTCAGTCCCTTTTCTTTAACTTTTCCCCTCCAAGTCAATGCATAAAGTGTCACTCATCTACTTTCAGAACCGTTCAATGTCTTATAAGCAGCTCTACATACTTATTCAGCCGTTCTCTTACTGGTGGGACTTGGTTTTTCCCACTGTTTTTTTCCCCAACTACAGCAATAATGTAGTAAATACCCTTGTACACACATCCTTACAAAGCATGTGGACAGGGTCTGGGAGCCGGCCTGTGTGACTGGGAGGATGCTGGCAGCTTGTTCAGCCTCGCAGGGGCCACGCCGATTCCTTGGAGTGCCCAGCATGTGTTCCATGCAGACTCAGGAAACTAGTGATAGGCACTTCAGGGAGCAGTGGGTTCTACAGTGGAACTGAAGGGTCAGGCAGAGGAGGGTGGTTTGGCAGGCGACCTGAGGAGGAGGCAGGGGAGCACAGGTCTTCAGGACAGGTGCAGGGTGGGAGATGGCTCTGCCCCTGCCCACCTCTGGGTCACCCTGGCTGGGGGTTGCCTGGCAACGCCTCAGTTAGTCCACTGCTGACTAGCCTAGCAGGCTGCTCCTGGGCCCAGAGCCTTTCAGGAGGCTTCGTTTATGTTGTACTCACTCCGCTTGTCACTGCTGCTGACAGGGACCCATCAGCGTGTGATTATTCCAGCCCTTGTGGACTCAACCTTGTCAAGGGAAGACAGTGGTAATAGCAGGGCACACTCTTGTGGAGCTGTGATAAGCTCATACAGATGGCTCTCGTTCTGTCTTTCTTGGAAGGCTGCTTCCTATTCTTTGTATGATATAAGGTCAGGTTTGCAATTAATAAACTTTTCCCCAGTCAGATAGTCCTAAAATCGGCCAAACAGTGATGCCTCCACTTGAACTCTTAGATGTGCCCAGACCGACCTGCATCCTGATGTCGTCACGATCATCGTGTCTCTGCTCACTTTCTCTTGTAGTCATTGTTCATCCCAAGATTGACCGCTTGAGTACCAGATGAGGTGCTCGATGCTCAGGGGTATCAGTGGACAGACAGTCTCTGTCCCCGTGCAGCGTGCATTCTAGTGGGAGGAGGCAGAGCAGAGATAAGCCATTAACATGGAAGGTGGGGCTGGGGGCCAGGAGTGTTGGGGTGGGGGATGATGGGTGTTGCACTTTATGGAGGATGTTCAGGGAAGACCTTTCTGATAAGATGTGACTATAGATGTGATGTGAGCCAGATGGATCTCAGGAAAGTTTTCCAGAGACTGACAGCCAGTGCAAAGGCCTCAAGGTGGGAATGTGCTCCAGGTGTTCAGGGCAGAGCACAGGAGCCACATTACTTGAGTAGGAGGGCAGTGGTGAATCGACAGTATCGGCAACCCTGAGTGGCCCTCCCAGGTGCCAGGCATTGTCCCACACTCTTCCCAGAGTACATTTGTTCGCCTGACAACTACAGGAGGGAGGGCCTCTTGTTAGCCCTTATTCCAGGGGTGGGCAAACTTTTTGACTCGAGGGCCACAATGGGTTCTTAAACTGGACCAGAGGGCCGGAACAAAAGCATGGATGGAGTGTTTGTGTGAACTAATATAAATTCAAAGTAAACATCATTACTTAAAAGGGTACGGTCTTTTTTTTTTTTTAGTTTTATTCATTTCAAACGGGCCGGATCCGGCCCGTGGGCCGTAGTTTGCCCAGGGCTGCCTTATTCTCTAAGAGACTCACCAGGAAGGGGCAGAGCCCCACATTTGAACACGGGGTCTGGTTGCAGGGCCCACAGAGGGACAAGGAGATGTGGGAGGTATAGAGGCCTGAGCACACAGGGTCTTCTGAAGGTGTGGACTTTGTCCTGGGTGAGATGATGAGAGCAAAGGGGATTAGGATTAAGCAGAGGCACCTTTGAGTGGAGGGTGCCTTGGGGCCTTCACTTCATATCCAGTGAGCTTGGGCTGTGGTCCCTTAGGAGCTGGGAGTATTGTTGGCTTCTGGGCACTGTGGTAGTGACCTGGTGAGAGTTTGCTAGGGGCCGTGGAGCCTCTGAGTGCAGCACCATCCGTGGACAAGTGCGGGTGTCCTGACTTTGACCATATGGGCCTCACTCTCCCCATCTGCAAAATGAAAGGCCTCGGGATCCCTTCTGCTCCAGCTGCTGTTTGTACTCTCTGCCCCCCGTGCCCCTGGCACAGTGTCTTGCACATAGTGGGCACCCACAGGGGAACCAGCCCCACAGGTCTCTGGTGGCCCTGCCACCTTGGCTGCGGAAGGCTGAACTCTCAGTGGGCCCTTGGCTCGGTGGCTCCGACTTGTCCCTGGGTTGTCACTCCCTCTCACTAACTTGCTCTTCTCGAATTCCACAGGAGGACTTCCGGAACAAAGTGGAAGACTACATTAAGCGGTACGCCAGATGATAGGAGGGGCGCCTGCAGCGCGGACTGTGCTAGAGGGTCGTCTTCAGCTCTCTCGAGGGGGCCTCCATCCCAGTCCTCGCGCTCCCGCAGACCCACTGGTTCTGCTGGGTCCTGTGACATGTCCTGCGGAGGAACCTCTTCATGACTGCCCATTGTAGACAGAGAGTTCCGCATAAATACAGCAAGAAAATGAGTTTGGGCTCTAAAGAGTTGTCTGCTTACCTTAACATGTTTACTTTGTGAACCTGTACTGTATAGGCTGAGGAAATGCTTGAGAAGTTGTAATGAACTCAGAATTGGAGCTTGCTTCTTACCTTCCTCCAGATCACTTCCCTGCACAGCAATGCCGATGGCCTGCCAGGAGCTGGCAGGTGGGCGTCCGGAGCCCCCTGCAAACTGATTAGATGCCAGTCTCTTATCTCCTCCCACGAATGTCGGCCCTGCCTCAGTGTCTGAGGCTTCCCGGAATGCAGTCATTGACTGTAGATCTCTTATTTGCGTATTTTATTTAATGTAAGTATATTTTGGAAGATTTGTAATTTGTACAATTTAATGCTTTAATTATCTTTTTTTCTATTCTCCTTTAGTTTGTATTTTCATTGTATAGAGTAGACAGAAAGATGTTGGGTCAAGCAATTATTGAAGAGAAATACAAAGAAAATATGAAAGACATCATTCATTCTGTCCAAATGCAACGAGAATTTGGGTCTTAAAAACCAGCTCTTGCTTTCAGGTCTGGGTGGGGCAAAGAAGTTTAGAACCCTGTGAGGCTGGAGCTCGATGATTTGGAAAAAAAAAAAAAAAAGGGGGAGCCCTTTGTCACATTTGGCCCAGAGGAACTGGCTGGAGTGGGGCTGGGTGTTTCTGAGGGTCATGTGCTTAGGAACTAGTGTGCAAGGACTATAGCTGCTTATCAGAGACCCAGACCCTTGCTCCTGAGGGACAGGAGAAACCTCGGGAAGCAGCCAAACAATGTCTGATGCCACTGAGACTACACCTGTGGCCTCTGAGTCTGCTGTGGTTCCAGGCCCGAGTGGAGGTGGTCTCCTGGGCAGTGGAGAGCAGGAATCGGAACAGCATACAGCCATGCTCGGTCAGGTCTGCACACTTCAGAGGAAGCACACCCAGGAGACCCCAGGACCCGTGATGTCATGCAAATAAATATCTGTATGGTTTTGTCCACTGCCTGCCTGCCTGCCACTCTCCAGTTTGACTGACAGCCTCCTTGCCTCTGGGTTTCCCATCTACCTAGGCTGATGTGTGCTTTTCTTGATTCACAGTATCATCTGATCTGGAGGTCAGCAGGGGGGAATGTAGGCCATACTTCCTGTTTGTGACCAGGAATTGTGCCCATTAGATGGGGTTCCAGGACCACGTCTGGTACACAGAGGGGGAAGGGTTGGGCTGGATAAAGGGCATGGTGGCATCTGAGTGGTGCAGGCCTATCGGGAAGGCACAGTAGTCCTCATCCCCAGGCCAGGCAGAGGCACCACAGCTCCTGCAGTTGTCATTGGAGCTTGTCAGTGTCCCTGGAACTCACTGGCCGGGCACTAGGCCATCCTCTGCCAGGTGGGTCAGGAGGTCAGCAGCAGGCCCGCCCACACACCTGATTTCTGCCGTGTGACCCAGGGCATGAGTTCCCTGCAGGAGTCCTGGGACGGGCTGTCAGGGCGGCCACAGGTGCCAATGCAGGTGGAAGATAGGGTGCCAGCGTCTGTGGTTAAATGGACCAGACTGAAAGGGGTTCCTGTTGATTCCCATTTCAAAATATTTGACATAGAAAAATGCTTTATCGGGGATCAAGTTTTTTTAAAAATGACATTTCCACAGTACTGCACCATCCCTTTCTGTCCAGGGAAACCCCATCTTGTTAAGCAGCACACCCAGCTCATCCCACTGCACCCAGTCTTTGCCCTCCAATTCAGTGGCATGGGACCCTGACTTCCAGGCCTTGTGGCTTCTTGGGGTCTCCCCACTCAGGGCAAAGTAACAGTTCTGGTTCCTGTCTGTGTGCCCCATCAACCTGGGGATCGTTGATTTCTGATCTCCCAGGGTTGGGATACCGAGCTTCCAGCCAAAAAGGCCAGCCCTTGGCCAAGTCCTTGAAAAGCCCAATTAAAATTCAACTTCTTGACAAAACATTCCCGAATTCAAATTCTGGCTCTATCACTACCCATGAGAACGTGGACAAGATGCTTTTCTGTACCTTAATTTCCTGTATATAAAATGGAGATAACTACCTCCCAATAAGGGTGTCATCAAAATCAGTTTGAATACATGGAAAGTGCTTAGAGCGGTGCCTGGCACGTGTGGGGTCCGCAAATAAACTTTGAGACAGTTATGCAAGGGGTGGCCAGTCCATGGCTCCATTCAAGTTCAAGAATCTGGACCTTTGCCCTTAACACTTTCACAACTGACTTAGGTTTACTGGGTCCACGAGTGTTGGCATTTCCACTTGACTGTCTCACCAACAACACATCCAGAACAGGTTTCGTTCCTGTCCAGATGAAGGCGCTGTCTTCTGAGTCACTCCGTTACCCCTGGCCTCCGCACTCCCTGTCCCACACCCAGCTCTCCCGCATTCCTGTAGGTCCTGAACCCACCTTCCCCGCGTCCCACGCCTCTACTCCGGACCCCTCGAATCCATGCGCAGTGAAGGAGCCCTAATTCCACGCAAAGCCACCTGTGCAGAGGCCCCTCCAGCTGGGGCCGTGGAAGCACGTTTTAGGAGACCCCGGGCACGAGGACGCAGAAGCGTGGCCCGCCGGCCTCCGTACCCGGC